CCCCCCCGCCCCTCTGCTCTAATTTACTATCACCTCCCAGCCATCATTTCATGGATTCATAGATTCTAGGACTGGAAGGGACCTCGAGAGGTCATCGAGTCCAGTCCCCTGCCCTCATGGCAGGACCAAATACTGTCTAGACCATCCCTGCTAGACATTTATCTAACCTACTCTTAAATATCTCCAGAGATGGAGATTCCATAACCTCCCTAGTTGCATGTGTAATTTATTTTATTTTCAAAAATGAGCACCTGTTGCATTTTCTGCGGTATTGAGATTACACTTCCCCACAATTAAAACAAAAACCTCTTTTGACAGAGGCAGGTTGTAGCAATATGCCTTCTTTATTTCTGGTTTCTGCCTAGTATTGGATTTGAGCTTCTAGTACCCGGCTGTTGTTGAGGTTCAATGGCACACAAGTCATGTGCGTCATGGTAGCAATAAACCCTCTTGGCCTCTCTTTGCACACATGCAGTGTAATCAGTTTGGCATATGAGACTTTGGAATGTCTGGTTCTCAATTTAGGCATGTACCTAACTCTCTGTCTACTACTGTTCTGACTTTTGCTTCCCCCAAACGACAAGGGGATGCTAAGCACTCTTTAGAAGTAACCCTCAAGCAAGTGAGACCTTTGGGCAAGGATCTGAACAATGGTTTCACCTCCAGGTCATGCAAAGATAGAATGTCAACCTTAAGAAAATGCGGGGGGGGGGGGGTATTGTATCTCAGGAATTCCTTGGTCAAATGACCCCCAAAATTGGAGCACTAGCCCAAGCCAGCACCCTCATGAGGCACACCAAAATTTTAAGGCAATCAATCAATCAGAGTAAGCATGCAAATTTTAGAGCACTTATAGTCACGCTTTAAACAGAAAGTTGGTCCAAACCTTAACTACAGTAGGCCTGGCAGTCCACTATAATGTTACGTTCAGGCTGCAACCCCTGGTACCTGTGACAGAACAAATTACATTGTTATATTGTCATTCAGAATCTGTTAACAAGTGGGTATAGTTGTGAGACAGTGTCTTAATTAAGCGATAGGAGAGTATTCACTGTCCAGTGTGTTATTCTTCCATAATTTAGTGAATTACACACGGAGACAGCCCAAACAAGGCCTTTGGCTAAGAATGTGCAAAGTGTAATTACTTTATTCCCATCACTGCTTCTGTTAAGGCACAAATGACAATCTAAAAACAAATCAATTTGAGTAGTGCAGCTTTATTTGAAAGTAGTTTGTGGTTTTGACAATAAATCTTTTCATAAAACTTGTGCAATCACAGATCATCCTTCTGAAAATTGCTATTGGGCATGTTACAGAGCAAGTGATAGACAGATCTGCTCAGACACATGCATCATTAGGTAAGAAAAAAAACTAAGTTAACATTCTGTTTATAGGACTTTCCCCTAATCAAAGATCCCAGTACTAAACATTTACAGTACCTTCCATGACAGGAAAAGGTTAGAAATTCACCATTTTAAATTCCCTTAGATGTGACGATAAGATGGTGGGTGTGCATTTTACTTCATTGTACCTATAACTTAATTAAAGTAATGGGTCTGAAACATGATGCATAGAGGTACCTGCAAGATACTTAGAAAGTCTGATTAAAGCTCATCACTCAGTTCATTTTACCCTTCTTTACAGGTGATGTAAAAAGAAAAATAGTAGGCTTATACCTTTCACGTGAAGCCCTGAAAGGTTTTATATTTTAAGAAAAGGAATAAGTTATGCTTTCTCTTTACATAAATGCAGGTGCTGTCAAACCCTAATATTATGATTGGAAAAGCAGAATTAGTGAAATTAGGTAAGTGTCCAGAGGGCTGAGCAATTTGAGAGAGGAAGAAGAAGTTTTTAGGCAGATGAGTCTTCAACACTGCTGGATTAAGGTGTTTAGACTCAATATACATCTCTCAAGATTCCCAAGTCCTCAAGCAAAGCCAGGGAAGCCCGAACTTGACATTGTTGAAATGTCCAGGTTTTGAACATTTTGAGCATCAGTTTATATTTTAAAAAGAGTCCATACTATTATACAATCACTTAAGTCAGTTTTGACACAATCTGCAAAAGTCATACATAAAGTCCTAGAGTCACTATATGATTTCTCATCAGATGCATAATGGACTCTGAGGTAGGGCTGGAGTTTGAACCTTGGCTTTTGCCAGTTTGCTTGTTAAAGCAGGAATGAATCTAGCCTGAAATAGAAGACAAAACTCACACCCTTTCAGAACTACTTTTCTTTTCCAATACCCTGTCTCCTTAGACATCCACCTTTTGGAGGTAACCATGCAAATTCTCCCATCTGTGGAGGAATAGGGAAATAAATTCATCCACATAATAAAATTACTAACAAACCCCCTTTACTGGACAAAATTGATATAGGAGCAACCCTTAAAAAAATAAAAAAGTAAGAGTGTTGCCAAGTTTACAGAGGTAGCAAATACCATCTAGCACCAGTTTTTAAACTCTCAATTCTCTACATTCCCTTTGCTTACGGCAGTCCCCCTTCCCACCCACTGGATAAAGAAACTTCACACCACCTGTTTTACAGTATCAAAGTGACAGGCTCTAATATACACACACACACTACAGATACTACTGGGTATCAGACCTCATACATACTAGACTCTTAGTGGAAATACGTATGGGCCAGGTCTTCAGTTAGCTGCTATGCTCCTATCACTTTGATGAACAGAGAGATAACCCCAGGATAAAGAGTTTGTTCAGGTGTGCCCTTCATATGTTTGCTAGCTGTTACCAAAAAAAGACATCTTATTTCTTGCTAGTCAAATACACATGTCAGAGAAATCTGGACCGTCTTTGTATTTCACCAAAAAAATAACTATTTCTATCCTCTTAATTTTTATGTTTGGTACACAACCCATTCTTACCCACCCCCTTCACTACTAATGTAAACAAAAAAAACCTGATGCCTGTGTATCAGGCTTTGGACAAATTAACATACTGTTAAAGAACTCTGGCTCAGGCTAGTATAACACTTCAAACATTAAAAAAAGCAGCAGTTAGCAATCACATGTCTCATGTGAATCAGTGCTATAAGTTTTACTCCCAGATCTTCACTATATTCTATTATCTACCCTACAACACTTAAAGTATAGCTTTGATCCTGATTTTGTAACTGGTCTTGAAAAATGGAAGAGACATTGAATATATTTAAAGATCTCAGCAACACTGAAAAAAAATCTTCTAAGTCTCAGTTACCTAAACAACATTCATGTGCAACAGATGCCCTTCGCTGCTCATCATAAGATCTACCACGATGCAGCTACAGTTCTCCTGGGATGCTGATGGGTCATTCAATATTCACTGGGGTTGAACAACTTTGCCATAACCTCCTCTCCCAGCATCATAGTCCTGCCGATATTCATCTCGGACCTGGATGGGGGGGGGGGGGGGGAAGTGAAATATTAGAGCATTCCAGCAAGTAAACTATTGCACAAGAGTTAATATACAATACCAACAAGGTAGTTAACACCTGTCCCAGGTAACAACAGTCCTGGTAATACACCAGTATAAGCTGTATAATATTTAGGAAAATTAGTGAGTTTCCTTCTCTACTTCATTCAGCAAGAATAGCTGAAGTGCAGCCTGCGGAATTTGGTATATTAGCATACAGCTGTCGTCTTCTTTAATAACACCCACAAGGACCCTCCTCATATCAAGATGGACCATCCCATCCTGGGGTCTGTAATCTACATGATCTACCCTACACACTAAAGATAAGAGCAACTGCTATGTACTCCAATTTAGGCAAGTTAGGTGATGTCCCGTGGTTCTTGGCAGGCTACAACACAGCTCTTAGCTGGGCAGCTTTTATGCTTGCTCTGCAAGTACCATTTCTCTTCCCACAGCAGCTGAACACAGGCTCCAATGTAACTTGAATACCAAGAAAAGGAACATGACATAAGGTTTTATTCTTGGTGGGTAAATATTTAAATGCATTATATAATGGTCTCTTAGATGTGATGAAATTTTACTCTGGCCATGGAAGTTAGTAAAATTAAAGTTAACTACTAAATGGTCACTCAAAAGTGAAGATTCAAGAAACATCAATAATTTCAACAGCAAATAGTGAAAAACAGATTGTGGAACAACTTACCTGACCCCCTGACCTTCCACGACCATACTGTCTGCCCTCTTTAAAACCTGCATCCCAATCTGTCCTGATGATCCTATCATCAAGCCGTGTCCCATTGATGTATCTCATTGCATTTTCAGCATCTCCTCTTGAGTAGTATCTTAGGATTATGTTAAAGAACGAGGTTCAACAGTCTTTCAAACTTCTATAGAACAAAAGTATTCAAATGCAATGATCTCAACAAATATTTGATTGAGTTTGACTCATTACTGGGTTAGATTTTAAAAATCAATTCCTTTTTCACAAATCAAATCAAATAGCGTGTGTTAAATGGCAGTAACCCAGGATTGTTAGGAATGGTATGAAATATCAGATTAATTTAACCCTATGATTTGCAAAATAAAAATTAAACTATTAACTCAAGAAGAAACAAGCACCCACCTGGGTGCTGCATTCCATTTGAAGTTATCCCAATAAAGTCAACAGGAAAATCAACTAGCTTCAAAGAGTCCAGAATTTAACCTAGTTAAAAAGGACAGGTTTGCAGGATTACTAAAAAGAATTTTACAGGAATGTTTGCCTTGTATTTAATGGAAATTCAAGACAGTCATAAAAAAAAAGAATACCCAAGATCTGTCTACCTAGGCATTTATGATATATTTATCACTGTGGTAGTTTAGCATCTAGAAGGTGTTTGATTTAGTCACAGACGAGACAAGTTAGCTATTAAGCCACTTTCCACACTACCTGACAGAAAATCAGATTCTCCATACCACACAAATATACTGTCAGATCCCAAATAATTAAAATAATGGGACTCCCCCAACATCCTTTTTGAGACTATTTTACAGTCTACTAGATCTCACTGTTAGAATGCATATCAGGGAAAAGTTTCCCTTTTCTTCATCCAGGTGTATATCATTACTCCTTGTTATATTCTACAGAAACTAAAAAGCAGGACAAAATTTGAGATCTCAGATCTAATGTTATATTTGTAAAAATATGTTTTTATAAAATACAAGACCGTTAGAAATATTTCCATGTGTTTTTTTATTCAAATACAAATGAATTTGTAAACAAACACCCACTGTATTATTACAGTATTTGCAATCCAAACTGATTTCTACCAGTGAAAAGTGCTAGACAAGAACTGGCTGTTATGAGTACCTGAAGTGTAGCCTAGTTGAGACAAATGTCAAACAGTATAGTTAAGAGTAAATTATAATTAAAGATTTTTAATTCTATTTTTGTAATCCTAAAAAACAGCAACAAGTCTTTTACATCTATGATCTTTAACCTGACAATAATCCTTCCAACAATTTTGGGGGCCTGAAGTTAGCCATTTTATTCAAATTGATATGAGGAAACAAAGTTTGGCTTCTCAAGCTCCCTAATCATACATGGCACCCTTATGTGCTCTACATATGTCAGCTTCTTTCTTGTACTATACTGCCCAGAACAGTGACCCAGTGCCCTGGAGAGAGGGATTAGCACAAAAATACCCAGTCCCCCACAATAGAATCATTTCAATTTTAGGTCCCATCCATACAGTAATATCTTGTGTTACAATTTAGTCACCCATACTTTAAAAATTAGGTTAAATCTTGCAGTATAGACGGGACTGCAGTGTTTACCATATTCACAAAGAGCTCCCCTGTCTGAGACTTTATCACTGATGGAACACTTCAAGAGCACAGTTCAGTCTTATCTGCACTGCAAGGCTAAACTGTGTTTTAACCCGGTTGGTTATTACATTGTAATTGTACCTACAATAGGAACAAAGCCAAGCCTTTACAACTCTTTTACTCTGGTTAGGTTGTCTAGATTTTGGCTTCCATACCCACTGTATAGATGTTTTACTTTGCAGACAAGGATACTCAACAAAACAGAAACCACAAGCAGTTTTCTTCACTTTGTCCAGGCCCATAATGATTTTCTTTATATCGCCACTTTTACCAAACAGTTCATAGATCTGCTCTTCTGTTGTATAGAAGGAGAGATTCCCCACATACAGGGTGCAGCTCTTTTTCAGCAGTCGCTCCTGGTCATATCTGTTACCCTGAAATTTCAAACAGTAAAAACCAACATTTAGACTCCACTCCATTCAATATCTTCAACAGTAAAGTGGCAACATGTGGGATGAGTTGATCTGCAATACCTTAACAGTACTGGGAAATATTTCAGATAAGAGGCTGAACAAACACACTAGCCCACATATGCCCATTTAAAAAACAAAAACAAAAAAACCCTCTAGCCCTTATGGTTATAAAGATAATCTTCCAAAAATGAACAGAATAGACTACAAGGCACTTTTCCAAGTTTGCAGAAAGCACCAGTACTTCTGCTGCTCGGAGCCTTGCAAAGCAGTTCCAGAGTGAACTGACACGGAATCCTGTTTTCACTGCTTTTAGTCCCAACTGCCAAGCAGCAGCAGAATGGGCCAATTTCACTCTGCTGCTTAGGAGCAGCAGAAGAGCCAGTGGAATTATTCTTTGAGAAATAACTCAAAAATGAACTCTGG